AAAAAAAAAAAAAAAAACCACTTTCAAATTTTTAATGCAAACGCTACTTACAGTATGTGAGACTTTTCGTTTCAAGACCCGCATTCCAGCTTATGCAATGCTGCAGTCTGATGTACAAAATATGAATACCATACAATAGCCGAGGAAGAGCAATATCGGCCAATTCTTGATCAGATGGAAAATCTCAGTCTCCTTCAGCCTTGCATAATGATTACAGTGATCTTGATAATGATTTCAAGGAAGTTTTTGGAGTAACTGGCACAGACTTTCTTGGTGCTAGTTAGAGTGTCACCACAGAGGATTACTGTTTATGACTGAAGGATATGTTTAAATTTGAGAGAAGTGCAGCAGAAACTTCTACAAGAAGGTGTAATACTTTTATCAGTGTATAATAGAAGCAGAATATCGTGAAAAAGTCAAAAGTGTGGATTACAAAACTTTTTTTTTTTCTTTCACGATATTCTGCTTTCATTATACAGTAATAAAAAAAACTGAAATTCAAATATTCTTTCTGTTAAATCAGCTGTTTTTTTTTCTTTTCTTTTTAAAAGTCCTTTTTCTTTTCAAACTCACAGGTTGGCGAGAACTGGGAACACTTACCCTCAGTTTCTTAATCTAGAGAATGGTGAAGAAAGCTTAATTGCAGTTAAGCGTAGCCGCTCTTAAAAATGTTTTTTTTTTTGTCGCCAGGTGCCCTTCACTTTTTGTATTTTGTTTTCTTGCCCCAGCCATGTTAACCATTGATGAATTTTTTTGAATACTTCTCATTTTCGTACAGATCTAACACTAAACTCCTTTCTTAATCCTTACAGCGTTTCCCAGCGCCACTTTCGCCATCAGTGTATGGCACTACAGATGATGACGACGATTTGGAAGTGTGTGATGCTGAGTTCATTACCCTTGAACGCTACTCTTGTTATGATGGCACTTTAAGCAGTATAACTGCTATTACAGTTTGACTGAATTTCTATCTGTAGAGGTTATCAAAAGTAGTGGTTGCTTTCGACACACTGGTAAATCTGAAATTAGGCAGTCTTTTTTCTTCACTGTTCGTAATGGCGCCCCTACTTTAAAATTTCCAACCAAGTCCAGCAACGGTTACGTAGCCAGTAGAGTTGCGCAGTTAATAGAACTTTGATGGATATTAGAATACAATTTCAACATATCAATGTCAGAAGAGTGGCAGGTTTAAGCAGATAAGTAAGCGCTGTGATAGTGATCAATGGCAAATTTCCTAGATCTTTAGAGAAGAACCTTAAATTCGCTTTTTCAAACGTCATGCTTTTCCTTAACAAACATTTTAATATTTTTTGTAGTTGAAAAGGCATCCTTGAAAATTATTGAAGATTTAGATTTTCCACCAAGTACAGCTGTTAAGTGAGGTGGTTTTCGTGCAGGGTATATTCTTCAGATGGCTTCTAGAGTATTGAGCATCTACAAGTGGCGTAAACTTGATCAAAGAAACTGACAAAAGTGTTTCAAAAAAATTTCTGTCCAACTCCTTATTTAGACACTCACGGGTTCTGTGATTGCCAAGCGTAGGTGTGGCAAAACTGCTGACTTTTCAGAACGAAGTCCACCTTTGAGTTATGTGCTGCGACTCCTCAGCAATGGATTATGCATAGTGATCACTACCAATGCCACGTCTTGAATCTTTAATGAAACAGAAGACAAAACAAGTTTACACCAATTTCAGTCTAAATCAATTCATTAATCTTTTACAAAGAGACCGGTATCGTGATGGTCGACTTTTAGAGGTTTGCACAGACATCATAGGCGGCTAATTGAGACAAATAAGAAACTGGCATAAATTCATGAATGGAGCAATCAAAAATTCTTTGGTATTTGTATGTATTGAGAGGAGTTTAATCCCTAATCAGTGTAAAAATTTTTGGAAGCGACGATGTCTTTTTTTTGGGGGGGAATTCCAGCGACTTTCGCGCGTTGGAGAGGTTCGTCTCTGGTTCAACATTAAAATTTTTTCGTTGCGGGTCAGAGTTACGGTAGCGAGGCTAGCTGGCGGCGGAAAAAATCACTGGCTTAAGTTTGAATAGGTTTTTTACCTGGCTTATTCTGAGAAGTTTGCAGTTATTTTGGGCCCTCTTGTTCGCCACATTTATAGTTACTGAGCAATTGCTCAAATTTCCTGATTTTTGAAGCGCAAAGCGCATATTTGCTGAGATTTGAAGTAAGGGCCAATTTCTTCTATTACTATTTCTGTCACTTTGTTTGCAAAAATAACTATTTTTTTGCAAAAACTGCACTTTTTTCTCGTTTGTCTTCTACCAAGTATGTGCTTAAAGTTCGTAAAGTTGTTCAGTAGGGTGAAAACACTAGTGATTTTGAAAATGTATCAGTTGTGAAGGTGAGTAGATCGCTTTGCACGTTACCAACTCATTTTTCTCACTGTCTTCAATTGAAGGTTAGAATTCCTGAAGGTTTTGCTGTTAATTTATTCGTTACATTTGTGGCTAAGTAATGTATGTGGAATTTTTTGCGTTTTTCAGTGGCGTGCAAAACGAAGAACAAAAAGGGAAGAATAGACCATTCCCGATCACATTACAGCAAATAACCCAGCAAGTGTATCAAAACTCAACAAAATTCAGCAGCAAATATGAGGTCACAAATGTTATTAAGTACTGAGCAGTGCGTTTTTTTTCTAAAACAGTACTCACTTTTCTAATTGGAATTTATTTGAGCTTTTTTTTTTTTTTAGCCACTGATACAGCAAAACTTTTCTTTTACTCGTAGTTAATCCGAAGAAAGTGATAAATAAAAAGTGAACAATGATAAAACACTGTTCGCCAGCTTATCGCGTGGTCTGAAAAAAATACGGCGCGATAAAATTATAGAAATCTGATGAATGACTGAATAAATTAAGGAATTAACAGACAGAACTACAAAGAGCTCAATAGTAACATTAGAAAGCTGTCCAATAGACTTAGAATTATATAGAGTTCGTTAGTTCCTCTCGAGAATATTATGATGGGACTGTTGTGCTTGTCTCTTGTTTGACTGCCAAAGGTCGCAAATCAACAAAGCTTTATTCATTTCGTAATCAACGTACAATTTAGGCTTCACTCGAATTATTTGTGAACTGGTAAGTTTTTACGCTTTTAAGTTGTATATTATGTAAAGGTACATATATCTGATGTATATATATATGAGCTTCTGCTTCAAGGAGAAAAGAAGTCCTGGTTTCCGGCGCCCATTTTTTAAACATTAAACACAGAAAAAAATTCTTTGTTTTTTTTTCGTGATTACAATTAATGAGAATGTAACGCGTCACATAACTTAGACAATTAACACAAACGCACTTGACGCAGCAATAAAATGAATTTATTTACGACGACCTTCGGTGATAATGACCGTAGATTAAGAATGCTGCACAAAAAAAGAACGGGGAGGAAAGGAAAATATACAAGATAAAATTTTTTTATTTCGGTAGTATTATATCATAACAATTGCTAAGCCGAACTCGGGGACCCCCATTCTCTCCAAGCCATATCACCACTGGAAAATGTCGATTGTTGTCACTGTACTATACTTTTCCACGGCAATACCGACATCAGCAATGCTTTTTTCCGCTCTGCTTTTGATTTTCTCACTCACTTTGTTTCGAAAAGCACCCAAGGTTGAGCGAATGGTTTTGTATAGATGGTCGAAATACTGCTGTATTAGTGGCTCTTGGGTTAGGACTCTTACCCTGCAAAAATTGTCAGCGTATGAGTATAAACCTAAAAAAGCCCTAAAGGTTTCAAAAAAATCAGTTGCAATTTGGTTGAATAGCCTGATGATTTTAGTCTTATAAATGTCCTTCGGTTATCCGGCATATAGCGGTCTCGTCAGTTTGTTTATGAGCTCGCTGGTGCTGAACACTGAAAAAGTTGTCCCATTCAGCTGTTACTGAACAGTTGGGTACATGAACTGAGACTGTTGTTGTGCCAATATGTTGTTCGAGTTCTCGCGTAGTATACCCGTCTGTGGCTGAGCCGTATAAGCGAATGGTGTTAAGGAAGTGAACGGTTGTTCACACTGTTTTTTAAGCTAAAACTTGATTATGAAAAAGAAAGTATACGAGATTTCCAAAATAATGTGGTAACCCGTCTTTTGATTTTCTAAAATTTAAATCCAATTTTCTCCTGCATAAAAACCTGCCAAATAAAAACGAAATACCAACAATTTCAACTTGTTGTGCATAAACAGCAACTTGTCGCCTTAACTCGGCATTTTGCTTTTCAAGTTCAGCAACCTGTCTTGCCATTCGTTGTTCTCGCTCTTTTCTGTTCAAACGAGATCGTTTTGCAGCTAAATTATTTTTATCCCGCCGTTCTCGGTACCTGCAAAAAAAAAAGCCAAATCCCATTGGCAGCAGTAGGAATCGTCCGTCGAAAGAATAGTAAGTTTGTTACGATGCTAAAAAGCAAGGGACTACGAACTAAAACTGCTAAAGAAATTTAAGTGGCGGCAAAAAATTTTTCATAACTTTGTTCTGTACGCTGTCACAGACTTAGTTTTTTTTTTAGTTTACGCTATAAATAGAGAAAAGGAAATGTATGAAGAGTAAATGAATGACGTTTTCGTGGAATGCAGTTAACCATGATAATGTTGTTCACAAATTTTTTTTTTGAAAGGAAGCTTTTTGTTCAAAACTGTTTACAGCTTAAGTTAAATGTGGCGAAAATGTAAATTAAATTGATAATGATTAGCAGGAGAGTTGCGAACAAAATGCGATCACCGCCTTCCGCACAGCCAAAAAAAAGCAACTGATGGTAAGTTCCTGTAATTAAAATTAGCACAGTGCAAAATTAACGTTTTAGAGGATTGAGTTTTTTTTCCTCCCTTACATTTGAACCGTATTTTTCCTGTAGAAACTTCGTATTTTTCTGTTTGTTTAGACAAAAAAATACTCATATTTTCTAAATCTGTGCCAAAATAATGCCTCTAAAGCGTTAGATGTTGGTCAAAAACAAAATAACAAGAAATTGAAAAGAGAATTTGGTTACTTCTCTAAGTCTGTAGGATACCGTATTATGGGAGTGTGCTTATCAAAAAAAAAAAGGTTTTTAAAGTACTTGAGCAAAAAAACGACAACAAAACATGAGGAAAAATCTTTAAATCCAAACTTCAGGCGCACCACCAAAAGTGCCAAAAAAAGAGCATTAAATGAATGTATCATTTGCACTGTTACGTAACAGCAATTGTGTTGCGTCACAAGAGCAAACTTTTCAGGCAAAAATTTTTCCTTTGTTCCATTAAGTCTAAGTTCCTAAAGATTGGGTTACCCAAGAGCGTTTTTTTAAGGGCTTTTAACGAGGACTGTAAGCTGTAATAAAGTATACTTTTTCCTCGACTCCTCATCTTCAAAACACGAGTCCGGCTTCTGTTGACACGAAGTACCGGCTTGATAGTTTTCACCGGGTTTTTCCTGAACTGGTATTGTCCTTGAAAAATTTTCGTCTTTTGCCAACTCATAGGACTGTAGCGGAACATTATACTGAGGAAAATTTGGTGCCATCATTGTCGAAGTGATAGCCGGCGGATACGGGAAGTATACATCGGTTTTCAGATCGTAAGCGGTTGAAAGCATAATTTTACTTGAAAAAAAGAAAAGAAATAAGCTTTTAAGCAAAGATACTGAAGTAATTAATCAATTTTTGTCTAAGAATCACGTTTGTACTACTAATTTTGGAAACGACTACCAGCTTTTGAAATCGAATGAACTTTTGAAGTATAAACGTGTGAAAAGTGACCGCGGTTCTTCATTAACACTTAGTAAACAACAAAACGGTTTGCTGTTTTTTAGAAAAAATTTTTAAGCGTCATAATAATTGGTTATGATACTAACAACTGAAAAATATTTCTAAACGAATAGTACTTTTTTAGAACCTTTTTACTGAGTTAATGGCTTATTCTGGTGAAGTTTTTGAGGCTTTAGTACCTTTTAGGTACAGTATTCTAGCAATAATAAAATCCAAATTACTTGCTTGAAAATTTCTGGAAAAGTTTATCCCAGAACTGGTTTTTTTATTTGCGGAGCTATAAAAAAAGTGTTGAATACTGTACGATTACAAAGTGCTATGAGGCATTTGGGGCAAAAGTTCACTAATTTCCCTGAAGTATCAGAAACTGAAAAGGGAAAGGTTAACACCTAGTGTTACGTCGAAATTAATTGTAGTCAATTTTGAACAGATTCTAACAGTTCCGGTTAATCAAACCTATCAGAGAAGAATGCGCAATAGATGCGCAACTAATCAAAACAGAAAAGAAAGTCCGAAGAGCAACAAAACAAGAAAGAGGGAAAGTAATGACGCGCAAAATAAAGTTTATGATGCTCGCGGGAAGCTCGGAACACTACTGATAAATGGTGACCGGAAAGTGGACTAAGGACGAGGAGGAGGGGCAGGATGAAACAGCGGGAGGTTGAGTAGCCAATGGTCGTCGTCGACAACTGGATGCTGCTGAGCATTTCACCACTGCAACAGTTATCTTCTACGCTGTCGATGTTGTTCGTTGCTTATGTAACTCACTGTTGTTGTCAAACTGTTTTGCTGTCTTTTTGAGGTCAATAACCACAGCAGAACAGGTGTAGTAAGACATTTCCGAGAAAAGGCTCTTCATTTTTTTTTTCTTTCAGTGAATGAAGAGGGAAAGAAACGTGCTGGGAATGTGCATAACAAAATTAGCAAATGTTACTGTGGATAAACTTGACGAATTTAGACATTTACTCATGACGTTGTTGAAATACCATTTTTTCTGACTGAAATAAAGTAAGCGACGGAAAATAAAAGTTTTACTAAGCGTAATATAATTATACTGAAGTCACCCAGTCTGTTAATACACGTTGTACAAAATTTTCTTGTTTTTTTCCTGAGCCCAGCTGTTCACTCATCGCTTGTCACTAGCTTCTGTATCAGTTGACAAATTTCAGTGTATATAATTTCAACAATTTCATATAAAATACTCTATCCAACAAAAATATAAGTTTGGTAACAAAGCTGATCGACATTATAAGGCATAGAAAAAAAGAGGCATTAGAACCTTTCAGGGCAGGAATTATTATTTTTACAAAGTTATTCTGATTCCGCTAATTTGAATAATTTTAAAAAAAAAGTAGTAATTGGTGAAAGAGCTTAAAAGAAACGCATTCATTTCGCGGTACATTAGCTGCAAGCATTAGCATAAAAAGGATCGTTTATTCCCGAACATCAACGAAGGAAGAGTGCATTTTTTAACTTGTCTTTAGCATGTTACATTTTATAACTGTCCATTTTTCCTTACACTTGAGACATGTCGAATCACCTTTCCCTTCATGATACATCCTAAGCTGATCCACCAGTTCATGCTGAAGGATGATTCTCTGAACTTTTCAGTTCGTCTTGTAATACCTATACCATTAGAAAAATTACTTCAAGACCTTAGGTCATTCATTATTTATTTAAAGCATATTTCTGATGCGTCACAAAGCCTGTTACCAGAA